TCCCTTCCAGTTTCACTCCATCTGCCCCTGGTCTGGGCTTTGCTTTTCCATACACCCCTTTCCTCCAGACAGGGCAGTGAGCAGGGGACCGAAGGTCAGGCAAGCAAAAACTCGGGGTACAAAATTTAAGGTGTCCAACCTCAGGCTTCTGCATGTGGAACCTGAGAGCTAAAGTCTCCTTCACTTTTATACCAGGGACACCTTGCTGTTCTCACCATAGTCCTGGCTCCAGCAGAAAGACATTTTTCTACCTGCAGCCCCTACAGAGATTTGTATCCCCCAAATCCTAAACTTGAGAGGGACTCCCTCCAACCAACCATGGTGAAGGTGAAGAAGTCTCTATCCCCCAACCTGTCTCACCCCAATGGCCCCTTTCATTAACATGGCCCTGGGGTTATTACTGGTGCTACTCTGTGATGGGAAAGTGCACCAGAACATCACCTCTCCCCAGGTCCCTTCCTAGGGCTCATGGTGAAGGAAACAAAGGAAAAATGGATCTCTCCCTCCCTGGCCACCTCCTTCCTCTTCCTTCAGTCCTTGTAGGAGCAGCTCATTCCCTCCCCAACCCCCCCCCTACCCACAGCTCACACTGTTGGAAAGTTCTTCCTTATAAGGACAGTGGTTGAGTGACAAGCTCTATCTTTCCTCGCCTGATTTAGAGACACATCTGTATTAAAGACTATTTGAAGAGAACCATAATTGCATTGCTTTCAAGTAACTGCTAACAAAGTATTTCCAAACAAATATACCTGGGGGTCTACTTTAAAGAAAATACTTTTTTTTGCAATTAGCAAAAGCTGTTTACATACAAACGATTGTACAAAGTCTAAAAAACACTTTTGCTTTTAAATAGGTAAAAACAAAAGCCTTCCCATTCTATTTTCTCAGGTCTTTGGCTGAAAAGCTTTTCATCCAATGTATTGATAAGAGTAAACTTGCCTCAGTCCACATACGCCCGATCTGAAATCCGATTATGTGGGGTCCAAAGGGAAGAGATCAGACAGTACTCTGGGCACCCCAGTTCCCGAGGCGTCCATTCTGAACAGGCATCTCTTTACCCCAGCCTCTTTGCAGAACAAGGAACTAGGTGTCAGCCATTTATGGAGACCTCAAAATGCCCTAAGCCAGGGGGCTGCCGGGAACAGATGGAAGATCTCAACCTCAGACAAAGCCTGAGGGCAAGGTTTTGGACCCAGGGGCCTGGAAAATGAATGACCCCTTAGAAAGGAAAGAGCATTTTAACATTATATTTAGAAGGAGCAATTTGGGTGGGGACAGCTGACAGTGGGGAGGAGCTTCTGAAGGAGAGGAGAGAAAGTTCCACACTTCCAGGCTCTGACCTCACCGTGGCCCTTCTTCCAGAGCCCCCGCCCCAGCTGAGCACAGCAAAGACCGTTCCAAGCCATGATTCCAGAAGTCTTGGTTGTAACCTTTAACCCCCAGCAGGACAGGTGATTGCTGGTGGCTGACCACATGGGAGGTGGCCAAAGAACATCATTGGGAACTGGAAACACTGGGAGAGAAGGAGAGGGAGGACAGGATAAGAAGATCAAAGAGAAAGACCACCGAGGCAGGGATTTTTTTAAAAAATAAATCATCCTCATCATCATCATCAGTAAAATTTACATAGTGCTTAGTCTATTCCAGACATGTGTTAAGTGCTTCACACAGATAATCCATGAAATCCTCATTGTTTAAAAACAAACAAACAAAACAAAACCTATGGGTCAGATACTATGAATTATTCCCATTTTATAGATGAAGAAACCAAAGCACAGACAGTTTAAGTAATTTGCCCAAAGTCACACAGCTAACAGGAAGCCAATAGGAAGGGCAAGGCTTTCCATCAAATGGTATAAAGATGGAAGCTCAACACTCAGTGTAAAACAGAGGGAGGAATGGCTGCCCTGGCTGGTTGTAGGGATAAGACCCTGTCGGGAGAGAAGGCCACTCCGTGTGGGGCAAGAGGAGGTAAAGACACATTCTTCTAGGTTTAAATGACACGTGACTGAGTGCTGAAGGGATAGGGACCAGAAAACTCCAGGCCACTGAAGGCCTGGGAGGGGAGAGGCTTCCCAGGGAATGGGGGATGGGGAAGGGCAGAGAGCCACAGCAGAAGTGATGTTTCCGGTGGTGGGTGGTGCTTTGGGTGGGTGCAGGTGGGGGACTGGGGGCCAGTTGAGGACAGATTCCTCTCCTACTTAGTTTGGGAGATCCTGATGGTGACCAGGGGTCTCAGGGCCGGGCAGAAAACAACCCAGATGTTTTCTGAGCAATTTCTTTCCTCCTGGGAGTGCAGTGGGAAGGGGGAGGGGGAGGAGGGCTAAGACTAGGGAGGCTGAGGATTTTCTCATGAGCTACGCAGGTGCAAAACCCAAAAAAAGAAGCTACGCCCTGAGTCCCCTACCCTGAAAGTAGCCCAGGCCTTTGCTCCCAGGCTGTAAATGTAAACACAGTGAAGGGACCAAGGGACACTAAGGGAGGCAGAGCCCATACCTAGAGACCTATGAATTGCAGAGCTGGGCCTTGCCTTCCATCTACATGGGTCCAGCCAGGTGTTATGGTTTGGCTCTGGAATGTTCTCCAAGGACTTCTGAATTCAGAGGCAGGGCTTTCCGGAAGTGATTCAATCAGGAGGACTTGGAGCTCCTCAGTGGATTCCCCCATCGATGGCTGAATGCATTACTGGGAGAGGTGAGGCACGGCAGGCCGACGTAGGCCCTGGGGCACGCCTGGGCAGGGTGTATTTTCTCTCAGGCCCTTTCCTGTCCTCTGCTTTCCAGCTGCCATGAGCAGCTTTCTTCTGTCACGCTTTTCTACCAGGATGTTCTGCCTCACCTCAGGCGCAGAGCTATGGAATTGGCTGGCCACGGACTGAACCTCTGAAGTCATGAACCAAAATAAACCTTTCCTCCTTCAAACTGTTGTGTCAAGTATTTTGGTCACAGTGACAAAAGGCTGACTAACACTCTGGGGAAGTACAGTGTTTTTCCCCACGCTCCCATGGAGCTGACTGGGAAAGCAAGGACTCAGAAACCTGGTTTGCCCAGGCACCATGGCACACGCCTGTAACCCCAGAGACTTGGGAGGCTGAGGCAGGAGGATCACAAGTTTGAGACCAGCACTGGAAATTAGCAAAACCCTGCCTCAAAATAAAAGATGAAAAGGGCTGAGGGTATAGCTCAATAGTAGAGCACTTGCCTAGATGATATGAGGCCTTGGGTTCAATTCCCCGTAGTGAAAAACAAATCAACAAAACCAAAAATTCTTTGGTTCATGGATCCAAAGAATCATAGATAGAAATATATGCAAAGCTACACAGTTTTGTGGTTCATCTCATCTCACTGAATATGAACCAGGAATTTACATGGCTCATTATGTAATGTAAATGTGGACTTTAATAGTATAATTGATGAGAAATGTATCAGTAAATACAAGATGTTAACAATAGGGTGACCAGGGTGTGGGAAGGAGACAGCAATAGAAATTCTCTATGTTCTACGTTCATTTTTTTCCCACAAACCTAAAACTACTTTAAAAAAGATACTGCCTATTGCTTTAAAAAAAAAAAGTTTATTGATACGGGTTCTGTTTGCAGCTTATGAAAGAAAGCAATTTTTCAGTTCACTGAGAACAGACTCTGAAGCGTACAGAATCCATGAGCCTGGGCTCCTACCAGGGAACCAAAATCCACACCAACTGTTGACGTCAAGTTCCCTCTCTCCTATGGAGAAAGCAAGGAGCCCTCCAGTTCAAACAGCAAGAGTTTACATTTGAAAGTTGATTAAAAATGATAACTCGACACCCTGGAAGATTCATAACTAAAGCTTAGGAAACTGGTCAACTAATTGGTTGATCCACAATCATAGGACAGATTCTTTGAGAGATAAATAAAAGATAAAAATATCGACTTTCCCCAACCTAGATGCCCATCAATAGATGAATGGATAAAGAAATGGTGGTACACACACACAATGAAATATTACTCAGCATTAAAAGAGAATAAAATTATGGCATTTGCAGGTAAATGGATGGAGTTGGAGAATATCATGCTAAGTGAAGTAAGCCAATCCCCCCAAACCAAAGGACAAATGTTTTTTTCTGATTAGGGGATGCTGATCTGTAATGGGGGGTGGGGAGCATGGGAAGAATGGAGGAACATTGGATTGGGCAAAAGGGAGGGAGGAGAGAGAGAAGAGGCATGGGGTAGAAAAGATGGTGGAATGGGACAATATCATTACCCTAGATACACATATTATTGCACGAATGGTGTGACTCTACATCATGTACAACCAGAAAAATGAAAAGTTGTGCTCCATTTGTGTACAATAAGTCGAAATGCATTCTGCTATCATGTATAACTAAAAAAATTTTTTTAAAGGTGACTTTCCTTCACTGTGATGCAGAGCCTGAGATAATCAACTTATTAGGAGGAAAGGTTTATTTTGGCTCGTAGGTTTGGCAGTTTCAGTCCATATTTGGTTGCCCTGTTGCTTTGGGGCCTTTGGGGAGGCAGAGTACTATGATAGGAGAGTGTGGCATAGGGAGTTGCTCACCTCATGGTGGCTGAGAAGCAAAAAGTGCTATGGTCCCCAAATCCCATTCAAGGTCACACCCCCAGTGACCAGCTTCCTCCAATGGTCCCACTTCTCAAAGGTTTCACCACCTCCAAATAGCACCAAGCTGGAGACCAAGCCTTCAGCACATGGGCCTTTGGAGAACATTGCAGATCCAAACTATGGTAGAAATAGATAAGAGACATGAAGGAGGAGGAAGGGTGGGGGTGGAGAAGAAGGAGGACAAGGGGGAGGGAGACGGGGGAGGGAGGGGAGAGGGGGAGGGAGGGGGAGAAGGGTGGGGAGAGGGGGAAGAAGGATGACAAAGAGGATCTGGCAATTTGATGGGAGCCAGATCATTGCTGCCACCTCATATCTCTTGCGAAGCCTTCTTTTGGATGTGACCTGGGTATGGGTAGAAATAAAGAGCCAGCACGAGTAAGGTGTAGTTAGCAATGCAGTTCATTTTTATTAGTTATAAATAAAGTACAAAAAATCCACCAAAAGTGAATCTAAGCATTTACACAATTCCTAATGTCTTCGCCTTTTCATTGATGCACTATTGCTTTAATATTCATAATAAATATTCTTCTAGCTTTCTGCTATAAAATAGTCTATGTAGCAAAATGTTGCACAGCACAACAGAACAGAACAGCAGGAGGATTACAAAAAAGGACAATCAACACTGAGGATAATCCTTTCACTTACCAGGGGCAACCAAATCACCCCCTGGTGTGGCCGGCTCCAGAGCTGAGAAATTAGCCACATCCATTGCCAGGGGTGGAAGAGGGGTGGGGGTGGTAGGGGAGGCTTGAGATTGGGGCACAGGCCAGCCAGGGCACAAGGCCTTGTTCACTTGGTCCCCGAGGAGCAGCGTAAGGCATGCCCATCCGGGAGCCCTGCCAGGGCAGTGTCTGCCAGGCCCGACAGCATGGTGGTGGTACACCCACCAGCGTGATGGGGGACTCCACAGGCTGTGTCCAAGCAAAGCAAGGCTCCAGGGTGGAGGCTGAGGGCAAGCTGGGCAGTAGCAGGCAAGAAGCCCCAGGAAAGGTTCCCGTCCCCAGCCCAGAGCAGAGATGGGTTTAGCGGCCATGCCCCATCTGGCCACTTAGGCAAGCCTAGCCAGACAGGGTGGCAACTCTAGGTGTCCAGTTCCTCCCCCATGTCAGCACCGTCCATCCCCATGGGGCCTCTTGTGGAGGGTGGAGTCCCCACCAGGCAAAGGCAGTGATGGCAAGAGCCAAGAGGGAAGGCAAGCTAGAAAGGAAGAGGAGGAGGAGAGGGAGAGGAAGGGTGTGGGGCAGGTGCCAGCCCACTCAAAGGCTGCTCCCGGGGGCTTGGACCTCCTCTCTCCTTTTGGCTCAAAGACACCTGGGCTAAGCACTGTGCCAGCTGTTGATGCCATTGTTTCCCCAGACCTCCCTCCCATCCCTTCTCTCTGGGGCAGTGACTCTGGAGTCCCACCCCTTATCCTCCATAGCAGCCTCCTGCCCACACCCATGGTCCAGGGGCAGGCCCAGGGGAGATACTGGGAGGTGAGACCACAGTCCAAACTGTGTCCCAGGCAGTTGTTGGTGGGTGATGTCCCAGTCACAAAGGCTCCTAGAGATGACAGGACAGGAGTGCCAACCCCCAACACCAGAGTCTGGGACTTCTACCTATCACATCCCTAAACCTAACAGGGCATGGACTTTAGCTTACTCTCCCAATGACCTGCTAAACTTCGTGAAAGGCCAGGTCCCATATCCAGGAATGTGTCCACCTAATTTACCTCCCTGTCGCCCTCCAGATGTTGCACTTAAAAGGACAGAAACCTTTGTGGACCTCTGCTCTGGGCAAATCTACGGGCTACATCCTCCATCCGTTCCCTCTCTTCTCCTTTTCTTTCCTTTCCTTCCCTCCATCTTTTCTCTTTTCCTTTTTTTCCTGAGAGGGCGAGATAGGTCCCCCATCCCCAGATCTGCGTCATATTCTACCTGAATCAGAGGCATCCTAGAGATGCCCCCCCTTTCGCCTCCCTTCCCTAGCACAGAAAAACTGACTCGGGGAGGTCAAGGACTGGCTTACAGTCACAGGGAAGACCACAATGGAGCTGATCTGAAAACCCAAGCCCCCCATCTAGGCTCGTGTAATGAGTCAGACTTTCAGTTTTCTTACACTCCTGCTGGCAATGTCCCAAGGGCTCCAATTCTGGAACCTTAGAAAGGTGGAGCCCAAGTGAAGACAGGGACCTCTAGAGCCCAGAGACCTCCTTCAGGGGTGGAAGCCTGGGTGGACTGAGGCTGTAAGAAGCGGGAAGGAAGAAAGAAAAGCAGGTTAATTGCAGGGGTGAAGGGGTCGGGGCGAGGGTGCCAAGGGTAGCAAGTGAAAGGATTACCCCAGTCTGCTGACGAGTGCAAATTATATTTATATATGTGCTAAATACAGTCACTATATTGGAGTTTTTCACTAAGTCACAGCATACAGAATCAAAGGTTTGCATTTCGTATGGAATGTATCCAAAGAGGCCAGCACCACAGTAGGACAGCTTGCAATCACACACCCTGATAGTTTGGACGAAATAAAGTTCGCGGAATTTTATTTAAATTTTTTTTTTTTTGTATTCGTAGTTGTTTGTCATCGTACCAATGCATGCAAAGCATTCCACTCCCAAAAACAACGCCAAAATGAGGTAATAGGAGTAATAAAAAAAATTAGTATCCTTTCTAAATAAATAAATTATAATTAAAAATGCAAAACAACTATAAAAATAATTAAATAAGAACCCACGATATCTACAAGTTAGTCATAAATTATGATTGTTAAATATAAGGCATTTAAACTCACAAAACCCTGTAAACTAGCAACGTGCCATGTTTTTTTTTTGTTTTTTTGTTTTTTTTTTTTTCATTTTTGTTTTTCTATCAGCTGAAATCGCTCTAGCATTTGCTCTACGCGCGCAGGAGATGAAACACGAGGGGACCTGACAGACGTTGCTACAGCCCCACACGGGGAGTGTTGATCCCGCCAGCGGGCGGGGGGCTTGGGGATTTCTTCAGGGGGAAAAAAAAAATCTGGTGCTTTTTCTTCACCATTGAAAAAACTGTGCTTGTTCGTTAGGCGTAAAGAGTTAAGAATACTTGCTCGGAGGCTGAGAGCCTTTGCAGAAGAGAGCCTGAGTCCCGCCACAGGTGGTGGGCGAGGGCGACAGGGCCGGGGGTCCTGGCTGGGTGGAGGACACTGTGGCCCCTGCCCACCCTCTGCTGCGCCCAGCGGCTCGTGGCTTGGGTTGATTGATTAGTGTCCTCGGTGGACCCGCTGCAGCCATGGCTGCGGTTTGGAGGCCCAACTTGAACCCTGGGGCTGCTCTTGCCCCAGAAGGCACTCATGCGTCTCAGTCAGGAAAGGGTCTGAGTCCCTTGAGTTGAGCAGGAGGACTATAGGTGTCTCCCTCCTGGAGGTGGTGGGTGTGAGATGCTGAGGCCTGAACCTGCCTCCTCTCCGCTCTTCCCAGGCTCCCGGGCCAGCTGGGATTAGGGGGGCTCAAGGGAGCAGAAGCTGGCACCTGCTCTTCTCACCCAATTGGCTTCTCTGCTAAGGAAACAGGAGCCAGGAGGGTCAGAGTGGCTGTCCCCTCTCTCCTGTCCCTACCTGCAGGATACAAGGATCCCAGAGAGACAGGGAGGGGAGGGAGCTTCAGGATCTACTCCCTCCCCAGCCCAGTCCCTGTAGCCTGGGGCACTTGGAGAGCCTGCAGAGAATAGGAGGGAGGAGGGGACCAGGTCCCAGTCTCTTACTCAACGTGTGTACCTTCAGCCTCTGAAATGAATGTTCATGCCCGCAGAAGTCCTTTTCAATGGCCCGGTCAGCACACAGCTCTGACTTGAATGATGTGTTGATGTTGGGGGATCATAGAATGTGAGTGTTGGGAGAAATTCTAGCAAGCATCCACTCCAACTCTCCTGTGTCATAACTGGGGAAACAGGTGCAGAGAGACACAGGAGGAGGGTTCCAGCATCAACCAGTTTATCAGTGAGGAGCCAGGACTAGAACCTGGAATATGAGCTCTACTTCAACCCCAGTTCCCCCACAGACTCCCTTCCCCTGCTAGCCTTCCAGACCAGCCTCAGGGAAAGAAGAAAAGACTGACCCAGGAGAGGACTCGCCTACCCTACCCAGTCCACCCTGGTGATCTCCATTCCAGAGCCGCCTTCTGATGAAGTCTTGGTTTTGACCCAGGCATTGGGGAGGAGGGGAGAAAATTCCCAACTCCCTGTGGCTATGAGTAAGCAGTATCTCCAGTGTCCTTCCCCACCAGTGGGATGTCCAGCCTTGTCCTGGAGACACTTCACACACTGCAATCACTGCCCCGGATGACCCAGTGCCCATCACTGCTGACCCTGAATCTTGAACTCTTCACTGTTTCTTGCACTATTGGACGTGTCCTGTCTGGTCTTCAACTGTAAGCTCCTTCAGGCAGGGACGTTGTCTTCTTAGCTCTCATCTTTCCCAGCACCTGCACCGGTAGGCACTCAACAGAGATTGTATGGGACACCAGAAGATTGGTGCTGGGAGAGACCTTTGTCTGGATAAGATTCTGGAGTGACATCCCTAGGGAGCTGCTTCCCCAACTCTGTCCTGGGGTGTCCAGAGTAGCCTTTGCTCCAGGCGGTGCAATGGTGTTAGAAGGTTCTACCTCAAGCTAAAATCAGTCTCCCTGTCATTGTCACCCACTGGTCCATTTACCCCTGACAGCAGCAACATAGATTCAAATATCCTTAACTGCATGGAATTTCTTCATTTATGTGACGAGTGTCCTGTCCCTTAGTCTTTTTAATATGAGGGCATTGAGACTGGGCTAGGGGTTGAGGTGAGGGAGGCTTTGAAAGCAGTGCAAATGAGGAGAAGGGGGAGGGACGGGGAAGGAGGAGGAGGAGGGGCAGAGGAAAGTCACAGAATTCCAACAGATCTGGTGTTTTCCACATATGGATAGAGAGCTGGGTTTGGGTTGGAGTTTGATGGATTTCCCCATCTCTAGTCTTCTATCCTCCTATCTCTCTGTTCCTTTGGGAGGGGTCAGAAAAAATGTGGGATGATGCACAAAGACAACTGGGAGGTCACTTTGAGCTTCCAGATCTGTCTCTTCTGGCACCCCCGACCCCAAACCCTAAGAAGTTCCCAGGAGAGAAAAGAGAATGCAGAAGATGGTGGACAGAGATATTAATCCTCAGGACATCTAGGTGAGGTAGAGGGAGTGGAAAGGGGATACACTGTTGTTTCTCCCCACTGGAAGGAGAAGGAAACTGAGGCACAGAGGAAGAAAGGGGCTTGCCCACGGTTATCTAAGATTCAGAGAAGGAGCCAGAGGTTAGGGACATAGGACCCCCCACACCCAGCCAAAATGGTCTCAGAGCCAGGGCCATCTCTGAGGAAGAGATCAGGACTTGAAACATCCCAAAGAAAGCTCAAGTTCCTCCTCAGGTCCACGGTGCTTGACCTTAGCTCTGGGTGCTATGCTAGCTGGGAGCGTTTTGGCCAAGGTCAAGTGTCCATTGCCTATGCTATTTGATCTGCATCATCTGGTTAATACTTTTTTGCATAGGGAGGCAGTGGCTACATTGCCTCTTTGTGACAGGACAAGAGCCTAATCTAAAGAAAGAAGCTGGAGTGAGCAGGGGCCCCCTGTCCCGGGAAACACTGAGGCCGCAGTAACTGGAGGTCAAGTCCACGCTGGTTCAGTGTGGCATGCCAGGAGGGCGGGGATGGCCGGGCTAAGAGGTGAGCCCTAGAACTGGAAGCCCTCCCTCAGGACAGACTCACCCCCTTCCCCTGCTGGGCTCTACCTTCCTCATCTGGCCTGAACCCCTGGGAAACCCCTCGAAGACCCCCGTTTGCTCTTTGTCCAGTCCTCCCCTGCCCGGATGCCCCTTCCACACTCCGTGCACTGTAAACATAAAAAGCCAAGGAGAAAACAAAAACAACAGAACGAGAACCCCCCTCCCACCTCCCAACTGGGTGAAAAAAAAAAAATCATCCTTTTTCACCGTAAACAGGATTTGGCTTTTCTTTCTTTCTTTCTCTCTTTTTTTTTTTTCCTTTTCACCTTTGATTCCTTTTTCCTTTCTCTCATAAAGACGGGAAGATTGGGGCTGTCGTTGGTTGGTTCAGTCAGGCACCAAAACAAGAAACTCAATGAGAAACATTTGGTGCAAGTTGGGCAATAGCGACATGTCCACCACAAGATGACTAGAGCACCACACACGACATTTTTCTTAAGCTAACATGCTCCGGCTGCCATCCACAGAAATAGCTAGAGACCCCTACATGGTTTCTACGTGGTCGAGAGGTATATGTACAATCCTTCGAAGGACAGGATTGAGGGGCCGGTCTATCAGCTAGTACCCTCGGATCACATCTGGGTTCTCCACAGCGTGGGCCCCCCACTCCCGCCCTGCTCTGGGCACGGCCAGCTCCCTCCCTCCTGCGCAGCAAGGCGGATGGGGGCAGTGGCCACTCTGGATGGGTGGGTCCTCCCCCACCCCCTCCTCTCCCTCGGACTCGGATACCACCAACTCCTCTTTCCACGAAATGTGCTTGCAGGCTTCTCCTCTACGTCAAATGGCTCAGAAGGCAAAGTTTGGCTGCAAGGGCTATGGCCGTGGGGGGACCTGGTGAAGGAAATGGGGCGTCCACTGGCTAACTCCTCCCTCAGCTGTCAGCTCCCAGTTGTGTCTCAATGTCCACTCGGCAGATGGGGCATTTCTTGCTCATGGCGAGCCACTGGTCCACGCAGAGTTGGTGGAAGAGATGCATACAGGGTAGGCGTCTGGAAGAGAGGAGGAAAGCCAGGTGACCAGCGTGGGGGTGAGGGGAACGGCTGCAGCAGGAGGTGATGTGAGGGATGTTGAGGGGACCAGGAGACACGCCCAGGACCACTAGGTAATTGCCAAAGGGGGAGCCTTGCAGGAGCCCTGCCCCAGAGTGGGGCTGTGGCTAAGTTAGGAAGCCGTGACAGGAAGGGAGCCTCAGGCCCTCCTCCATGAAGCCCAAAGCAAAGCCACGATGTGGCCCCAGACCATCCCCAGGCCAAACGTGGCACCGTTCTCCTACACTTTCCCTCCATGCATCCTCAACCTCTGTCAACACAACTAGAACATTCCATGCCCCACCCTCCCAGTGCAGTTCCGAAGCACACTCACATGCACCTGCAAAGAAGTACCCTCACCCCAGACACAGCGTGGTGGCAGCTCACCAATGCCTGTGTGACAGCAGGGAGAGAGAATCAAAGGGGCCTCCTACCTCACGTCTTCTCCATCTTCCAGCATAGACAGACAAATTGTGCATTTCTCATCTGTGTCGGACTCCTCGCCCTCATCCTTCTTGCCCTTGCCATCCTGGGGTCTTCTCTATGACAAGCAAAGAGAAGAGCATCTGTTACCTGGGGCCGACTCACCTGGTGGCCGTTGGCCTTTACCCACAGCCTCCTCCCCCTTGCAGCCCCCTCTTCCTGGGGGGTCAGTCTCTTTTTAAGTTTTCTTCCCTATCTCCTCCCACGTGCTGCAATAGAGAGAGAGAGGGTGCGAGCCACATGAGGAAGAGGCCAAGTGGACTTCACCGTCCCAGACACTATCAAGGAGCCCAGGTTGGGAAAGGGATCAGGTTCCTAATGAATTGACCCTTTGCAAAGGTACAGCTCCTGCCTAGCAGCTTCCTGACTCTGTTCTGCTGTTACTATCCACTTCTCACACCTTGTCCAGTGTGGAATCCTGCCTCCGGGCTTCCCCTCTACCTTCAGGTTCAGCGTGATTCATTCCTGCACTCATTCATTCATTCATTCACTCATCCAGTCATTCTTTACCAACGTCCCTTCAGGTCTGCTCTCATTACAGACGAGGATAAAATTCCACCCCCAGGATTAACTCCTGTAATTAGTACCACACTTTACCAGCTATTTTGTGTTATTGATTTCTCTTCCCATCCAGAATGTTCCCTTAGAGAAGGCACTAACTTTAAGACAAGGTTTGACATCATGCAGGCACGCTATGCATACTTGTTGACTTTAATATTCCTATTTTCAATTCTTCACTAATTCTTTGAAAATAGTTTTTTCACTCTTTGGAAAGTTCCAAGTTCTCAGATGGTGTGGACAACGGCTTATCCTTTTTTATATACTCACCTACATTTAACCAAGTTCAAGGCATAGCATTGCTCTTAATCAATATTTGGGGGAAGAGGAAATCTAGTGAATGGAATCAGCCCACCTTCCACATTCCCATCTCTTTGCTCTAATGTGAAATAGTCTGATGATAACCATAGGAAGAAAACCATAAGCACACTTAAAGGTCATTTCATAAAAATAAAAATCTGGAGTCATAAGACAAAGACCATCCAGAAAAGGACCTTGGGGCCAAGCCTAAATGTCAGGTCCCCCTATTCCAGTCCATGGTCCTAAGTTCTGGAGCTCCTCATTTTAATTTAGTCTAGGGAATCCTGTGCCTTTGCTGGGATACACGAGAAACTCTATTGCTTCTGCTTTCAGCCTCTTTGTCTTCTATACAGCCCCTGCAAACCAGGCTGGGCTTCTAAGGTAGGTTTCCCCTCGTCAGAATTATAGCCATTGTAGCACACATTTGTGTGGAACTTGAATATGAATAGAATCATGATGATCTGCTTATGGGTCCAGCTGTTTGCAGGACCCATGTCTTTTGGACATCTAGAGACGTCCAAAAACCATGCTACGAAGCCTTAATATTATTTTTATTATTATTACATGCTTATTTTCTGCTGTTCTCTATGGATTTTCATGATTCCCTTTTTATAGTTTAATAAATTATTAAATTAAGTATTAATTTTACCTTAAATATCACTCTGTTTTGCTGTGGTTAATCTTTTTTTTTTAAAGATTATTTTTTTTAGAGAGAGAGAGAGAGATAATTTTTTTAATATTTATTTTTCAGTTCTTGGCGGACACAACATCTTTGTTGGTATGTGGTGCTGAGGATCGAACCCAGGCCACATGCATGCGAGGCGAGCGCGCTACCGCTTGAGCCACATCCCCAGCCCCTGCTGTGGCTAATCTTTACTTCTTTAGACTAGTCTTCCCTTTCCAATCTTATTTCCTATTCTTAATCTTTTTTTTTTTTTTTTGTATTCTGGTTTTTGTTTGCTCTTTATTATGTACATAACATTTTGGGGAGAGGAGGGGAGAGAGTGAACCCAGGGTGTCTCACCACTGTTTTATTTTGAGACAGGATCTTGCTAAGTTCCTTAGGCTCTCCCTAAGTTGCTGAGGCTGGCCTCCAACTTGAGATCCTCTTGCTGCAGCCTCCTGAGTTGCTGGGATCTCAGTCATGCGTCACTGTGCCAGACTCTCTACCTAACTTTCACCTTTAACTTTTTTCAGCATTTATTTATTTCAGTGTTTATTTAATCCTTTTCACCCTTACCCTTTCCTTTTATTAACATTTCCTTTTAATTCTGATGTTCTCTATTTTTAATTCTACACATTGGTTTTATGTCTTTTCCCAGTTCCCATTCCTTCCATATTTTTCTCTCATGATTGTTTATGTTTTCTATATTTTTTGTTCTCACATTATTACTATTTTAAAATATACTGTTTTATATTATTTTACTCTGAATCTGAGTTTCTAAAAGTGTTTTTTGTTTGTTTATTTTGGCATTTTATTTGGATCCTAAACTTTGTTATTTCTCTTTTTTACTTCTTCTTACTTTTTTTAATAACATTTTTATTCTTTTGATTCTCCCTTTATTGTCCTGATTAATTTACTGTCTCCCATAATTTTACCTGAACCTCTGTCTCACTGATTCAATCCCTTTTCTCTTTTCATTCTCTGCTATTGTTTCACTATTTCCTTATGCTCTGTTAAAATGATAGCAGGTGAGGTATGTCACCCTGGCAAAAATGAACACCCCGTGCCAGGAACACACACTGCTCTGGGCTCCCCAAATGCCACTCATTCTCCTCCACTTTCTCCAGTAATTCAAAGTCCTCTCTCCAGAGAAGGACCACTTTCCCCACGGAGATGAGACCCTTAGTCTCATCTGAAATACTGTCACATCCCTTATTAATACACCTTCCAGTGTCTGACACATAGTAGGCACTTAATAAATGTGGTTGAATTTGTTCATGAACAAACCCGATGCTACTGTGAGAAGATGCTTATGCCAACATCCAGGGTCTTCAGCACTGACACCTAAACTTCAGAGCACCTAACGAAAGCAAGGGCTTCTGGATTTTGAAATGCACCCCCACTGGACAACCAGGCCAGCATTGAGTGGACCCTCTGACAAACCCCTCCCAGCCCGGACCATGCAGGCTGGCCTGCTGGCAGCCCCACCTTCTTGTACTTGTGGGGGAAGGTGAACCTCTCAATGGTGTTCTGCACAGCTCCCCGGGTCACGTTTCCCAACCTGTCCTCCAGCTGCAGCAGCTCCTGTAAAGAGGAAAGCATAGATAGGTGGACTCAGCACCTAGAAGCACATACAGACCCACACAGGATGAGGAAGAGGCACCGGAAGATGTTAGTGGGAAGTGTTCACAGAGCCATCGAGAAGTACTTGTCTGGTGCTGAAGGCTGCAATATCTCTCCTTGCTCTCTCCTGGGGCCTCCTCCATCCATGACCTACCCACCACCAGGAGAGGGGACGATGGATGGTAGGGGCATCGATGGTAGTTGGCACCAGACACAGCGACTAACCTCATAGCTCTCCCGCACGGCAGAAGTGTGTCTGCTGGGATTTAGCCCCTGGAGAGCGAGGAAGTGAAGCTGGGGGTAAGGGTAGTTTCGGATTTCATGGACGACCTGTAGGGGGACAAAATGGCTTAGACAGAGCAAAGGATTCCAGCTTCTCCATGAGCCCATCCCAATCCTGATGGCCAGCACAACCCTGAGATGCTGTGAGCTGGTGGCAGGGCTGTCCCTCCTGCTTTTGTGTCTCTCTCACCTCATCAAGTTGCAAATCTGGGCCCAGACCAGCTCAATCAATAAAGTGACAACACACCCTGACTGGCCACCCATTTCATGGCTCACAATGAAATCTTCACAAGACACACCATACAAGCCATGGAATCCCAGAGTTGCCACGGACTTTAGAGACTATTCATCTTGGTTCAGCTAGGTGGTTCAGTGACAGAGGCAAGGGTGGGAAAAAGCAATGTGGAGCTGTCTGGAAACGGGGTTCCATCAGTCTTGCTGCTCGGTGGGGTGTCTTTACTTTCATTCCCTGCAGTCTGCAACCCCAGACCCAACCTGACCCTCTGCAGCGTTTAGTACTCTGCAGTCACCAGAAGGCCGGCCCTAAGGAGGAAGGCAGAGCTGGACCAGCAAGCCAGGCGGAGGGCTTCCTCCAGGATCTGTCTTGAGCTTCATGCCAGCCCTGGGAGACAGGGCAGGGCAGGCACCCACATTCCCATTTCACAGACAGGTAAAACCAAACCCAGGGAGATAGGGCCACAAGAAATTAAATGAGGTCCTATGAGGGTCAGAATCTGTCCTTGCTTGTGGCCCCAGGTGTTCCCCTGCAGACCACCAGGGCACCAGGAAGCAGGGACACGGAGAGCTGCGGGCCTCAGCCCAGCAGGAGCACCCAGGGGGCAGCAAGAGAGTTCATTTCCACGGGACCTTGCACTCACCATCTGCGTGGAGGAGGAGTTCCTGGGAAAGTGGTGCATTCGCGGAGTGGCTAGGTAATGCTGATAGTGCTGCGGGAGGGGCCGCACCTGGAACTGAGCAGGACTCAAGCCAGCGTCCACACTGAGATCCCTGCGGGGACACAGCCTCGGTCAGCACGGGGTGGGTGAGGCACCATCAGGTTCCATGAGGGTCATCAAACCAAGTAGCACTCGACCAGGGTGGCTCCAGCTCTCCTCCTCTCATTAGAAGGAGAAACTAGGTCCAGGGGATCTGCCAGTTCTGAGGGGTCTGGAGCAGCACTGTAAACCTTGAAATGAGGACCCCATCCTCCTACTCCTCACTAAACTCTTCCCTGAGAGAAATATTGAAAGAAAAATCCAAATGTAGAGAGTGTCAGGAATACACAGCAAAGAAAGGACAAGGTCCAGGGGAGGAGAGGACAGCGGCCAGCCATATTTTTACCACTTTGAGAAAACAACGAAAGAGGAATCTCTACAGCTGGCTCTGCAGTCAGAAAAGCTATCCTAGCCCATTGCCTCCTGCTCCCTAAAAGCATAGGAAACTCATTTCACTTAAACATGGTTAATTACTTACACTCAAGAGGAACTAATGTCTTATTTGAATTATGTTTTATTTCAAGTCTATGGAGAAAATATGTAAAATGAGACAAAAACATTTTTGTCATAACTGAAGGCAAGAAAGCTATCAAAAGGCACCAGGGTCATGGCAAAAGGATTCATGAATCACCCAGAAGAAGCTCCCAAGGGCCCCAAGTCAGGATCATTTGCATATCAATACCTATAGCTGAGCCAGTAGCACATGCCTGTAAGCTGAGACTGACACAGGAGGATCGCAGGTTCAAAGCCAGCCTCAGCAAAAGCAAGGCGAGAAGCAATTCAGTGAGACCCTGTCTCTAAACAAAATACAAAACAGGGCAGGGGATGTGACTCAGTGGTCGAGTGCCCTGAGTTCACTCCCTGGTACCCCAAAAGAAAAACAACAACAACAGCAACAAAAAAAAATTATAATTGTAAAAGGTATGGAAGACCCCAAAACAGATTTGAATCCATAGGACTAAATGATGCTGAAGAAAACGGATTCTCTTTAAAGGATGCTAAGGAACCAACTCGTCACTTAGGAAACTAGTAAATAAAAGGAAGAACCAAACATTTACCTTGTTTTCCCCTTAATAAGTGTACTTCAGGGTAATCGAATAGTTGAGGAGGGAAAATTTCCCTTAATAAAAGTTTCCCAGCAAATAAATGAATAAGGAATGATTGAATTATTTGCCACCATTTTCCACCCCTGAAGAAACAAAAGATCCAGGCAAAGATCTTCAATTACTGCTAACATCACAAAAGAAGAGACAACCAGACATTAGGTGCCTTCTGGTGGAAAGACACACTACCTCCCCGCAAAGTATCGCTAAGAAATAAGAGTCAAACACGTATCTGCTGAAGCCTTGACCTAGGTTCCCATGTATAGGGGCTATAGGAAACTGGGGGACATCTTAAGTGACACCTCTAGAGAGTACCAGCAAAATCCAGAGAAGGGGAAACTCTCCGGGAAGAACAGCCTGTTTTCTCCAATGAAAGCATTAAATATCTATCTATCTATCTATCTATCTATCTATCTATCTATCTATCTATCTATCTATCTATCTATCTAAACAGACAGACAGAGAAAGACAGTCATTAAAGAAATTTCTGTTTCCAGCCATAGGTGAGGGTAGCAGGAATCAGATGCACCCTCCTATTGTAAACCACTAGAAAAACAGACAGGATATATGCAATCTGTTTTCAGACACTTGCAACCTACAGCGCAGAGCAGTGATCCCTGGAAGAAGGAAAACAAGGTGAGCCCTGCCACCTCCCTACCTTTTCACATGAAGGTGCCTCTAGACGGTGAGAAGGGAAGGGAACCCTAAGCAGAGCATGGTGGTCTCCATGAGTTGAGGATCCTATTTCAGGGAGAGTGTTTTGGAGAGGAGGAGCTCCAGAAAGCTACAGAGAGTCTTTATTTGAGTCCTTGTTGAATACTAAGATAATGTACATGTGGCACAGACCCCCATCAGGTTGAACAAAGAGCGCACATGGAACAGAAAGAAATAAGGAATACTTCCCAGGAGTTAGACAGGGTTGGGAAGCATTCAAGTCCTAACACATCAGCACAGAGTCCTGTGAATCACTCAGGGCATACAATGGAGACCCAGATGGCCTTTGAAACTTGTGGATAAGCTTTTTTAGGGAAAGTCTTGAGAACTCTCTGATCTAGGCATATTCTAGAGCTCCTGTAATAAGACTTATCAAGCATCCAAAAGATCAAAATGAACGGCAAGTATTGCTCACCAGAACAAAGTCCAACACTCTCCAAATGAAGAAAACAAATCCAGTAACTCAACAATGTATAATTCATCATGTCCATCATTCAATAGAAAATTATTGGATGTGCTGAAAATGAGAATAACATGTCTCATAATCAGATGGAAAAATGAAGCCACAGAAACACCTCCAAGACACAGAAATGACAAAGATGGTGACACAGCAAACAAAGATTCTCAAATAGCTATTCTAATCATATTTAAATTGTAAATGAAAACATACACACAGGGAAGAGAAAAATGGAATGTGGAGGGAAATGACCTAAATAGAACGTCCAAAGACAAAAAATGCAACATTTGAAATAGAAAATTCCCTGGGTTGCATTAACAGCAGGTTAGATACCGTAGAACAAAAGATTAGTGACTTAGAGACAGTGATAAAAATATTCTCAAACAAAGCACACAAGCAAAAAAAAAAAAAAAAAAGACTGAAACATTAACACTCTCAGTGACAATACTCAGTGGTTGGTAAAATTCAAAGGGAGAAGATGGAAGGTAAAGGATTTTTAAAAATGTATTTTAGAGAAAAACTGACTGAAAAATTCCAAATCTGATGAATTCATAGATTCAAAGACTTCAATAGACTTTGAGCAGAATAACACAAACAAAATCACCTTAAGGCACATAATAATCAAATTCCTAGAAAACATTAGTGAAGATAAAACATTTAAACCAGAGCCAGACCAAGTGGTGAGCCACTTGGGAGGCTTGAGCCTAGGAGTTCAAGACCATGCTGGGCAACAGAGTAAGGCCCGATCTCAAATATATAAATAAATAACCAACCCAAGGAAAAAAGACCTATTAGACACAGAAGAAAGTGGATAAGAATTACCATAAACTTCTCATTGTCATAAACTAGAAACAAACAAAGCCAGAAGACAATGAAATAACATCTTTAATCTCCTGAAAGAAAACAAAGAAACCTAGAAAACCCAGCAAAAACATCCTTCAAAATGAAGGTGAAATAAGACATTTTCAGACAAACAGAATTTGAGAGAACGCACTACCATATTTCTAGACCTGCACTAGAAATATTCAAGAAGGATCTATGGACAGAAGAAAAACAATACCAGATAGAAACGTAAATCTATACAAAGGAATAAAGAATGTCAGAGATGACAATTGTGTGGGGGATTTTTCTCCATTTAAAAACTTTTCTTTGAAGAGCAAAAATTGGCAATTTTTTTTTGGTAAAGGATTAGAGACAGTATTTTAGGGTTCAAGGACTATACTTTCTCTGCCACAACTACTCCAAATGTGTATTGTAGTTCAAAAGCAGCCACAAAATTCATGTAAACAAATAGGTGTAACTGTGTTCCAATAAAACTTTATTTACAAAACAAAACAAGGTGTGGGCCAGACTGGACCTTCAAGTCATAGTTTGCTGAACTCCTGGTTTAAAGCAAAAATCCTAGCAATGTATTATAGGAGTTATAACATATGTATGGATAAAATCTACAAAAGGAACAACACGGATGGGAAAGAGATAATGAAAGTATACTGTTGTAAGAGTTTTATATTAGATACAAAACAGTATAATTCTATTTTAGATAAAGTAAAAAACTAAATATGCATATTGTAAGCCAAGTATGTTCACAAAATATAATAACAAAATAAAATGATATGACTATGAGGCCAATATTTAACCCTAAAAATATTCAACCAATGAAAAAGAAGACATGGAGTAGGAAATAATAGTTTTAAAATGGGCAAATAGAAAACAAAGAGTAAGATGGTGTATTTAATCCCAACCACATAGATAATTTTATTAAATGTAAACATTCCCCTTAACAAACAGAGATTGTCAACTGGAAAACAGTAGCTAACTATATGCTGTCTATAAAGATTTGTCAAAAAAAAATCATCCTAGATATTAGGAAATTCCTAGTCCTTAAAGAAAAATTCATAGCTTTATATGCTTATATTAGAAAAGAAGAAAGATCCAAATCATTACTTCAGATTCCACCTTAAGAAGCTACAAATAAGAAGAAAAGAACAATAGAGCCATTAGAAAAGACATTCCTGGACAAGGGCTTGGTCAGCTGGGCACAGTTTCCCCGGCCCTTAAGCAGTCTAGATGGGAACTTGTCCTAGGAGGTAGCAGTTCCTAAAGAAGCAGGGCTTCTCATTTTCTGCTGTTGCCACAGCCAATAAGAAACAGTTAACTGAGGTTCTTGACTTTTGTTTAGTTGGTTGGTTGATTGGCTGTTTTTTGGTTGGGGGTGTCCTAGGAATATCCCATGGGCCTAAAGTCACAGAGTTAACCCAGAACCACATTTAGAGATTTTTTGTGTGTATGTGGACTTTGTCTCCATGCATTTGTTTTTCATTTGTGTCTAAACAAACAGCTCAATCTTAGTTTTCTCTGTAAATTTTCTTAAAACATGACATGCCCTGGTTGCTATGCAGACTCTCGGGTTTTCTTCAGGAAGCTGGACTTCAAAATGCCAGCACCATCTGTGGGTGACTTCAGGCTACAAGAGCTCTGGAGACTTGGCTAAGTCAGGGCTGCCTATGGGCAAGGGAGGCTCTCATGCTCCTCCCACCCTCTGCTCACAGGTCCCATGTCCCTGGAGACCTCTGCCTAGACAGGGCTAGGACCATGAGGAGCAGGCTTTGGTCTATGAGTTACAAGGTCAGAGTTGGGATTGAGAAGCCAGGACTGAGAGAAGGAGAGTGACTAGGATGGGGACACTGGGGATACGGGGCTGTGGTTCAAGGTCAGGGTCAGGTTATTGGACAAGGCAAAGAGATGGGGAATTTTTGAGATTCATCTCCAAAGAGCTGAAGCTCCCACCAGAGCTCAGGCCAAGATGCCCAAATGAAGAAGCTGCTCCAGGAAAGCAAAGATATTCCAAATAAGGGCAAAAGTCTGGGGCAGCCTTAAACCTGGGGCTAGACAAGACCTGCTGCAGAATTCCCAAATGACCTAGGGCAGAATTCAATGTTTTTTGATAGTTCTGTAAAGAAAAGGGGGAGGGGGCTGCTGCAGACATACTACCCCGTCCCCCAGAGGCTCCTTGCAGAGGGTGAGAGTAGCCCCTCCTACAATGCATTTCCTGTAATCCAATTACCAGGCTCCCATCTCCTGGCAGAAGAGGCCTCTCTGGGAAAGAGGGTTGGGATGCAGTTAGCATGATCACAATTACAAAACATCCCTGAGCACCGCTAGGCCAGCCCTTGCTGGAGCAGAGCTCATTATAAGGGAGGAGAAACTGCCCCTGCTGCACTGGAACAGCTTTCTACCTGGGAAGTGAGGGCTGGATAGGCAGAGGGGGTCAGGGATAGACCCAGTTAGAACTCTGAGACATGGACCAGCTTTGTTTCTTTGGACAGCAGGGGCCAAGAAGGAAGAGAAAATTTGGCTCAAGAAAGTAAGCCAGGGGACAAGCTAACACCTGCACTGTTCCTCCTGACATTTGACCAGGACAATCCCTTCCTATCACCTGTCCCATCTCACATGCTTCGTTGGACCCCGTGTGTGTATTCAAATTACTCAGCCGTTTGCAACGGAGCTCCATGTGTGCTGAATGGAATCAAATTGAATTGACTTCACTGCTGAGGGACGGAATTTAATTCAAACCGCAATTAAATCTTCCTAATTTGAATCTGCTAATTAGAAAAAGGCTGGGTTAAGGTTGGCAGCAATGTAATCTATCTTTTAAGGGATTATTCAATTTAGCAGAGAGTGTACCTGAGAATAAGCAGAGGACTGGGGACGACAGAACGTGCTGAACCAACTCTTCACTGCACTCAGAAGTGCCCCTGGCATTCAACCAATCAGAACTGCCCTTTAGAATCATTCCTAGGTGTCATGGAAGGGACTCCCAAAGCCACCCTTAACTAAGCCAGTCGCCTGACCAGATGGCTAGAAAATGACACAATGGCACATCCATTTTAAAAATAGTCCATTCTTTCCATTAAGGGATTATTTTTATTTTTACTGTTTTTAAAATACATTTTTCACCTAACATTTGCAAGAAAAATAAAGAATTCCTGAATACCCTCAACCCAGATTCCTCAAATGTTACCATCTTACTACTTTACTGTATTTTTATTTCCCTCTCTCTCTCTCTCTCTCTCTCTCTCTATATATATATATATATATATATAGATAGATAGATAGATAGATAGATATAGATAGATAGATAGATATGTGTGTGTGATATATATACATATATAATATATGTCCACATACATACAGAATTACGTATATATGCACATATATAACACATTAATATACATACACACCCACACACCTCTGTGGAGAGACAATTTTTTAAACTGAACTCTTTAGAAATACATTGCAGACGTGATGCTCTTTACCTCAAAATCCTCAGCAAACTGCACATCTTTTAAAAGTATTTGAGGGTTCTAATCAGACCCTAGTTAAGATGAGCCCTCTTTTGAGCTAGAAACAGAGAGCTGGGTGGGGCCCAGGATCCAAAACCAAACAACCCTACATCCCAGGACAACAAAGACCTCTGTGCCAAGTGCAGGAAATGATGGGAAGACTTCACAGGCTCCCTCTGCCTTGAGACTCAACAAAACCAAAACTCTCAGCTTTCTCCCCACCTTTACCTCCAAGGTGGCCAGCTATCTCCATCCCTCAACACCACCCCCTCCAGGAAGCCTTCCCCGACTCCCTCACCTCCTTAGAATTGTTCTTCCTGTCTTTCTCCCAGGGATCACTAGTTCATAGCTCTACTGAACTTGGGAAATGTTTTGCATCCCTGACTCCCCGTCCCCTGCAGGACCATGAACACTGGGCCCCAGGCTGGACACATGGTGGTGCCCAGTTACATCTGAGCTAATTGCTGGAACAAGGCCCAGGTGAAGCCATCTGGCCATGAGAGTGGCTGGGAACAGGCGAAAAGGCCGGGGACTAAGGACAAGGCTTCCTACATCATTCAAAGTGAAGGAAAACAAAAAAAATCCTTGGATCTGGCAAGACCCACATTCTTCCCTCCCCTGGGACCCCAGAGACTCACCAGTCAGTGCCCTCAGCCAAATACCTGGGCTGAGGTGTCTGCAGTTGGTGGCCGAAGTCGAAGCTGGGGTGGAGGCGGTGGGGATGGACGGACACACGCTCCTGACTCCGCCTACACAGGAAAAGAAAGGGGTCCCAAGGTGTCAAGGGCTGCCTCAGCCAGCCCAGCTCCCGGGAGCTCTAAGTGACCCGGCCAACCTGAGGATGCCCCACTCCTCCAACCACCCACTGAGCCTACAGCCCACAGGGCAGTGGGCTCCACCTTCTCCTTCCCAGAGGCTCAGGAGTTGGTGACTCTGACATTCCAGCTGTCTCCAGGCTGCCCACTAAATTGACATCTCTCTCTAGGTGTGTCTGCAGTAGAACACCTGGCCCCCCTCAAACTGTCACCTCCTCAGCCTTTTCTGTTGCTCCTGCTCTGTCCCTAATGGACCATCTTCAAACATACAGAACCCTCTCCTGTTAGCCGTCTCCTCCTCTCCTCTGTTCCCACCATGTTCTTCTTCTCTTCTTCCTTCTCCATACTCTTCCAGTGTTCACGGCCCAGGTCAAAGCCTGCCTCCACCAGGAAGGCTTTCCAGAACACCCCAGATCTTAGTGACCTCTCCTTCCTGACCCCTCCAACGCTCACCTGTTGTCCCAGGCACCCTAAACCCTCCAGCCATGGAAGCTTAGGGCTTTAGCGATCATGCAGTCCTGTGGCTCTCAAAGTGCCCCAGCACCCTTGGGGGTCCCCAACCCCTTCCAGTGGTTCGAGAGCTCAAAACAATGTTCCTAACAAGACTATGATGTTATTTGCCTTTTCATCCTTATTTTCTCACAAGTGAACACTGGGGTTTCCCAGAAACTCTGTGCATGTGTTTCTGCAAGATTTAGTGCTGAAATAAACACAAAGACACAACTGTTTTCTACTAAGCTGAACATTAAAGAGATTTTAAAATACATTTAAAAAAAAACTCATTCTTCTCACTAAATTTATATATAGTCATTTTTAATAAAAATATTTTATTGGTTTAACATACTTTGTTGTTGTTTTTACATGAGTTCCTAAATAATTTTTAAATTTCTAAAAATGGGAAGCATCAACATTCTAACCTACATAAACACAAGTTCTTTAAAGTCATTAATTTTTAAGGATGTAAAAACAGTTTGGAGAACCAAAAATTTGAGAACCATTATGGTAATCCAATTCTTTTTCTTAGCAATTTGAGGGTCAGAGAGGTGAGGTGATTTGCTCAGGTCCCCACAGCTACTTCAGACCCGTTTGATTGGTGTTGACTAAATTTCCTCTCCAGCTGTTTCATGGTATATAACTGGACTCTTTGACTAGACCATCGCTTTTGCAGGCAGAGCTGGAAGCAACATCCTTTGGTATTCTTTATAGTTCTTGGGTGTTAGAATCGGTTGATCGGGAGACTTAGGGGTCCTCCCACATGGGCAAAAGGTCCACTGTGAGCACCATGGACTGCTAGTTACCCAACCCCCAACCCTGCACCTAGATGATGTGACAGGGACACATACTAGGGTCACAGTAGTGCCCACTGCCTGAAATGAATGTCACCAACTGAGGCAAAAGCTACCTCCTGCACCGTCTCCTGGTGACTATAGGCCCAGTTTGGGGGGAAGAAGCCAGTGTCCTTGCCTTTGGCCCTGCTCTCTCCCTACCCTTTTCACTGGCCCCGCCCCCTCTCCAGGTAGCCCACCTGGGGTGCGAGACGAGCCTGCGGTGCTGGGCTTCCAGGAGCTGCTGCTGCAGGAGGTATTGCTGGTGCAGGGCCTGAGGTAGGAAGGAGGGACCTGTGACGTCCTGGAACTGCAGGGTGGGCAGCGGGGTCAGCGACTGGTGGAGGGCGCCGCTGTGCTGGTGGGCCGGGGCCATGTGGGCGCTGAGGCCCGGCTGCGACTGCACGGGGTGGGCCAGCGGGAAGTCTGGGGCGAGCTGCTGTGGCTGCGGAGGGCCGAGATGGAAGTGGCGGCAGGAGGTAGCGTGAGGATGCTGAGACCTTTGAAAGGGGGCACCTGGGGAGGCAAAGACAGAGAAGTCAGAGGGTCAGAGAGGTGAGGTGACTTGCCCAACTCTAGGGGGTGGACGGACGCATGCTCCTGACTCCGCCTACACAGGAAAAGAACGGGGTCCCAAGGATCAACACCGGGGCAGCCTGGAGCTGGTGAAACTCAAGACCCTTAGAACACAGCAATCCCATCGCCTTTATACAAAATGATCATCTTTAATGCCACCAAGTAAAGGCTCTGCACGTTGTGCTAGAGGGGGGAAGAATGTGTATTTAAATAAATAGGTGAGCATCCTACTAATAAAAAACACACTTGTTAAAGGGTTTTCAAGATCCCTAGCTGCGGTTTGGCTTTCTGGAATTAGACTTTTCCCATGCAATCTCATTGGCTGAAGCTTTTTAAAATAGATGTCACATAGAAAAAAAATGTAGGGCAGCCTAGCCAAGCTCTGAACTTCACCAAAGCCTGGGCTAGCCAAGACCCAACCAAGAGGAAGTCCTAATTTCCACAGAGGAAGCAACCAGAAGCTGCTTTGCATGCAGTTTTAAAGAGGGAGGGGAACTCACAGAAAATAATTGCTTTATTTAAATAATTATCAATTTATTACAGCAATGTAATTTCCTTAAAGACAAACATACCCAAGTATAAGCTGGGCTCAAGTGACATTTAATTTATTAGACTCTGGTACTTTTCTAAAGAAAATTGCATTGGATGACAGGAAAGTCTTACAAATGCTCCATGAGCAGAAGTCTAGATCTGGGTATTGGAGGAGACCTTTAAATGAGGTAAAGATGTCGACCTGGTACTGAAAGTCAGCAGATTCAGTACATCCCTGCTGTTTCCCAAACCCCGCCAAGATAAGAGCCAAGAAATAAAGGAGAAGATAAACATACAAGGACAGATCCAGGAGGGGTGGCATCAAGCAAGCAAGAGATGTCAACAGATTTTTAAAAGATGGAAATCAGATGGAGGAATTAGCAGAACTGAGAAATCAGAAACCAAGCACCTACCAAAGAGGCAATCAACAAGAAGGGGACAAGGCTTGCCACATGAGGCTGGAGGGGTCAGGAATTGGAGGCAGTGACTACTTTGCAAGTCATGAAAGAGGGTCAAGCTAAGAAGAGGAAGACTAATGATAAGTCTATCTAAAGGGGCAGTTATGCATGGGGCTCATACCCTTTCCCATGCAGGGCAGTGACTTCCCCTCCCAGAAAGTCCCCAGTACAGCACCATGCAAAACAGGATTAAGTGAAAATCTATCCATGGAACTTTGAGACTCTCTACCTTCTTCTGCCCCTTGGTTCCAAAAACCCTGTCATGAGGTGTGTGGACCCACACATCCTGGACTGGACACTGGAGAATGCTTCTCTAAAGAAAACCAGTGGTCCCAGAATGCTCGACAGATAGTTCCAGTTGGAGGCACCTCAATAAAATGGCTGGATTTAAGCTGGGGTTGTGGCTCAGAAGTGGAGCACTCACTTCGCATGCTTGAGGCACTGGGTTCGATCCTCAGCACCACATAAAGGAAAATAAAGATATTGTATCCACCTATAACTAAAAAAATAAGTATTAAAAAAAAAAAAAACGACTGGGTTCCCAACTGGCCACTCTTTAATGAAGCCCATTAGTCAAAAAGTCCTTTGTCACACACAGGACTTCTGGAGAGCTTTTAGGAAGCTCTTTGACATGATCAGACAGCCCAAGGTGACCAGTCTCAGGAAGATTACAAAGTATAAGATAGGGATCATACCAATTTTAAAAAGAAGAAAAAGAACTCAGAGGAGCAGGAAAACAAATGCAAGAACTAGAAGGAAAATAAATTTCAAAACATTGTAATTAATATCCTCTGAGAAATAAGATGCTTGATCCAGGAAGGTCTTTTAAAGGGAGCAATGAGAACACAAGAAAGAGAGCTCCTAGAAATTATAAATACACGAGGTGAAATGTGAAGTTTAACAGCAGGGATGGAGATGAAGTCGGGGATATTTCCCAGGAAGCAGAATGAGAAAAGGTTGGGCAGAAGCCTCCCTGCACATTTCACTAGTAAGAGGGAAAGAACCTAAGAAACACTGAAGAGGAAATTATGAAAAGAATTACAAAAACTACTTCCCAGAACTGAAGGTCTGTGTTTCTAGATAGGAAAGACCCTCTGTGTGCCCAGCAAAAGAGATGAGGACCAGAATCTCAGACTGAGGCACCACATTGTGAAATGTTCAAACAGAACAAAGAGACAATCTTCTAGCACCTTCCAGAGAGAAATCAGAGAGATCCCATGCAAAAGATCAGAAATCGGAATAGCATGGGATTTTTCAAACAATACTAAAAGCTTAAAAAGTACAGAGGAACTGCCTCCTGAGGGGGGGGGGATGTTCTTCAATCTAGAATTCTCTGTTCAGCCAAACCATTAATCACAATGGGAATAGAATAAAGCCATTTAAAAAAAAAA